CAAATACATTTTAGCACTAAAGGGTTTGTAATGCTATAAACTTGAATAAAGATGTGTAAAGAAGGTCAGCATTTTATTAATTTCAAGAAGCTGAGCCCAGGTTCAAGTCAGAAATGTCTGACTCTTAAAACCTAAGCACCACATTTATGCACATGATTTCTTTTTTTTTTTTCTGTTGTGTTACCTTTAAAATAACAATGAAAAGGTAGTGATCATATGCCACCTGAATCCCAGTTTAGTGCTACCATTATTACTATTTAGAAGACAAAGAAGTATCTTCTAAATAAGAAATTACCATAGTCTCATATGAAGATATCAATATATTTATACTGAGGAAACCAAAAGAAAAACCATTTAAAATAAATAAAGGGTACAGTGTGCATTTAGGATTTTACTTTTCTTTCAAATTTTAGATTTACAATTAAGTCTATTGGAAAGAAATAAAAGCTGTTGCCACCATATTCCCCCAAATTTTGAGCAACGCTGAACACTTCCCTGGACAGTCCTGCACATGTTTTATTGATGATGGCCAAGCTCACCCCTGAACACTAGAAGTGGGAAGATGTTAAGAGATAAAGAGGGAGAATAAGCAAAGAAAAAAAATCCTGATAGACACAGACAACAGTATGGTGATTACCAGAGGGAAAGGGAGATGGGGGACGTAGAAGAGGGTAAAGGGGATAAATGGTGATAGAAGGGGACTTGACTTGGGGTAGCGAACACACAATACAATATACAGATGATGTATTATAGAGTTGTACACCTGAAACCTATATGATTTTATTAACCAATGTCACCCCAATAAATTCAGTAATTTTTTTTAAAAGAGGGAGAGCCGCACTGGCCAGTTTGGCTCAGCGGTTAAAGCATCAGCCTTCGGTCCAGAGAGACCTGGGTTCGGTTCCCGCAAGGGCATGTACCTTGGTTGCAGTTTGTCCCCGGCCCTGGTTGGGTAGTGCGGGTGGCAGCCACTCGATGTGTCCCTTTCACGTTGATGTCTCTCTCTCTCTCTCTCTCTCTCTCTCTCTGTCCCCTTCTCTCCCTCCCACTCTATCTGAACAAAAAAATGGAAAAATGTCCTCAGGTGAGGATGAAAAAAATAAATAAATAAATAAAAGAGGGAGAGCCCGGCCAGTGTGGCTCAGTGGTTGAGCATCGACCCATGAACCAAGAGGTCACCAGTTCAATTCCCAGTAAGGGCACATGTCCGGGTTGTGGGCCTGATCCCCAATGGGGGCATGCAGGAGGCAGCCAATTGATGTTCTGTCTCACAATGTTTCTATTTCTCCCTCTCCCTTCCTCTCTCTCCCTAAAATCATTAAAGGAAAAACATTTTTTTAAATAAATAAATATATAATAAAAACAGGGAGAATAACAGATCTGAGAGTGACTAAGTTACTAACTTTCCCCACAAGCCCAAAACAAGTAGCTGACTGCTCTTTAATTTTTTTTTTTATCCTCACTCGAAGACATTTTTCCATTTTTTTGTTCAGATAGAGTGGGAGGGGGAGAGAGAGAAAGAAACATTGACGCAACAGGTACACATCGAGTGGCTGCCACCCACACGACCCAACCAGGGCCGGGGACAAACTGCAACCAAGGCACGTACCCTTAGCGGAAACGGAACCCGGGTTTCTCAGAACCATAGTCCGACGCTCTAACCGCTGAGCCAAACTGGCCAGGGCTGCTCTTTAATTTTAACTCAGCCCCAGAATCAACAATATCACCACGCTGGCTTTATGCAACATTTCCTAATTGAATAAAATAAACTTGAATACGAAAACACATGAGAAGAAAATTTAAGTCAGAAACTGCCATGCTCTTATTTCTGTTTTCAGTGAATGCTGCTGATGTTCTTAAAGCTCCCTGGGAGAGCCTCAGTGGGCAGACACTGTTGTTAGTATTTAACCACAAAATGGGGCGGGGGTAAATATTGTAGAATGCTTTTTATTTCCAAGCCAATCAAGGAGAGTACATGAAGAAAGGAATTACAGAAAAGACAAAAATCGGCTAAATTAGAATGAAGCACTATATTGTGTCATCCAATAAAAAATATTTATTAAATAAAGATCATGTTACTGAACCCTAAACTACTCTCTAGAAATAAAAATATTTCTTAGCTTTGATTCTAGCACTTAAGGAACTAACTAATGGTCTAACTAACTAGGTTCTTAAACTTTAATATGCAGCCCTGGCCGGTTTGGCTCAGCGATTAGAACGTTGGCCTGAGGTCCAGAAAGACCCGGGTTTGGTTCCCGCTTAGGGCATGTACCTTGGTTGCAGTTTTTCCCTGGCCCTGGTTGGGTGGCAACCACTCAATGTGTCCCTTTCACGTCGATGTTTTCTCTCTCTCTCTCTCTCTCTCTCTCTCTCTCTCTCTCTCCCACTCTATCTGAACAAAAAAAAACACGAAAAAATGTCCTGGGGTGAGGATAAAAAAAATAATAATAAACTTTAATATGCATATGAATCCCCTACCTTGTTAAAATATAGATTATTTAACAGATCTGGAGTGGGGCCTGAGATTCTAAGATCTAGGTGATGCTGCTGCTGGTCCACAGACCACACTTTGAGTCGAAAGGGCAGCATAGATAAAGAAATAGAATAAAGGATTACAAGTACTTGTAAATCTAGAGTACCGTGTGAACACCAAGGATGGAATGCACCGTTCCACCTGAGTGTTAGAAAAGAGTTTATATAGGAGGGTCTGGATGAGCTGAGTCTTGTTGTCCAGGTGATCACAGGGGGACAGTCAAGAGGTCTGCATCGTAGTGCAGCGATTATGGTGTGAGTTGGACAGCCCATCTAAACTTTCTGACCCTCAATTTTCACAACTGTAAAATGAAGGATTGAAAAGGTCCAGACCCTTCAAAAATCCTAAGACTAGGTGAACGCTAATGAGATAAAATTTAAAATCACTTAACATATGACCTGTTTGGAAGTTAGGGTGAAATAGCCCTGGCCAGTTTGGCTCAGTGGTTGAGCATCGGCCTGCGGACCAGAGAGTCCCAGGCTCAGTTCCCTATAGGGGCACGTACCACAAAAAACAAAAACAAAAAAACGAAGTTAGGGTGAAATAGATTTTATCAGTGAGCTTAACAAACTGATCTACATTTGACAAATTAAAGTACATCAATCAATAAAAAAACAGCATTTGTCTTAACAGCTTATACTTGTTTTCTCCTATTCAGTTGCCTATTTGTAGGTGGTGTACAGCTTTCCAGCTGAATTACTTCAAAAGAACACCATACTCACTTTACTCAGCATAATAATACTTAACATTCATAAAGTACCTTTTATCTTCAAGGCAATTTCCAAACATTAGTTAATTGCTTGTCACATCACTTGCAAGTGACTTTTCATTAGTCCCATTACAAATGGACCAGATTAAATTGAAATTGGGAAGGCAAGCCCCAGAGCAGAGGTGAAAACACCTGGGCTTTCTGCTACCTGTACTCCTGTTCCCTCACCACCTATCTACAGGGGAGAACCCACCCTCACCAGGAAAACACCAATACACTAGAAAAAGAAGAAACTGCTATATCTGAACATCTTGCTGGAGTTTGCCACTAAATGCCAAAACGTCAAAGGACAGAGATGAAGTTATTTAAAGGCTTCATGTCTCCCCACCTAAGTAAGACTGATTACCACCTCCCCCAACACTCTACAGGAGAACTCATTTATTGTGCTTCACTTTATAGTGTTTCACAGGTGTTTTTTTTTTTTTTTTTTTTTTTTTTTTTTTTTTTTTTTACAAAATGAAGACCAGCCCTTCCACCAGTAAAAAGATTATGTCTCATTTTATTTTGATACTCACTTTATTATAGTGCTCTGGAACCAAACCCACAATATCCCTCAGGTATGCCTGTATTTACCAAAATAGAAAACCAAGTCAACAGTGAGTGATTCCATTTTCACACAAAAGGTTTCCATTACTAGAATTTAAATGAAGTTTGGCTCATTTAGTGTTATACTTTTGGAGGATAAAGTCTTTTCTAGAATGGACTTTGAATGAGTAATCACGCCCTAACTACAATATCTTCTCTTCCTATAGAAAACAGAGTTAAATGTACCCCTTTTAAATGAGAATAGCAAATTTTAAACTCACCACAGCAAGAATTAGCCAATAAATACCAAGTAATTTTAGCTATTGTTTTGTGCATTTCTTTCTCCTCCCAAATGCTCTAAATGTATATGTAGATTTAGACACAGAAATAATGATAATAAATATTATTTTTAAACTAACCAATTTGCAGTTTTCAGTACTTCTGATTTATGGGGTAGGAGAGGGAGAAGTTGTGTACAAAAGGCTGGTAAATTTGATAGTAATTTAAAAATAAGATCCATTTGTATAAAACTGAAAGTAAGTATATCACAGGGGAGGTAGAAGAGGGTAAAGGGAGAATAAATGGTGATAGGAGACTTGACTTGGGGTGGTGAACACAATGTTTTAAAAAAAAGTATATTAGAAACAGTTCATTATTTTCTTATAGAAGAAAAAGATATCTAATCTTAGTAAGTATTCAATCATAACAAAATGTATCTTTTAACAAAGGAAGCCTTATATTGGAAATCCTTAGCTGAAAACAGGTTTTCTACTACTTTTGCATTTTTTCCAGAGTGCTTTGTGTGTGTGTGCACACACACACACAGCATACATCTCACTTGTAATTAACATAAGACAGAGATTAGAACATTTTATTTTACCTTTATCATTAAAAATTTGTGTCATGATCAAATTTTGGCACATATATGAGTAAATGTACGTTTTAGAGATGCTCTTCAAAAATGAGTGTTAAGCCATTTTCATTTTAACATTTATTACAAATCACATTTTATAAACACTACATAAGTTACATATAAAAGCTACACATAAATATACAGAAGCAAAAACAGTACTAAAACATAAGCATATTATTAACATAAGAGAAACAGCTAATATAATGCTTACACATATTTAACTTAACAATTACTGATTTTTCAGGAATTCAAAAGCCATTCAGAAAGGAAATGTAGTATACTGTACTCTTAACTGCTATCAAAGCTTAGAATTATAAAAACAACAACTATAGCACTACTTATTTTTACAAATCTTTTCAAACATTCGGAAGCCAAATGACTGTCCTTAAAGACAAATTAGACTTGGGTAGAAGCTCTTATCTAACTGAAGAATATAAAATTTTAGGCTTTGGTTAATAGATACCAAATTTAGTGGAAATTTTAAATTAACATCTTCCTTATATGTTATATTCCTGAGTTTTTACCAAAATACCATGAATAAAATAACGAACTTAATTTGCAGCTTTGCATACCATTGTATTATATTTTTGAAAAACAAGAAGTACTTTGATTAAGTGTGAATAATGGGGCTTAATAATGTAATCATGAGTAGAAGTAACATGTTTAATTTAGCTTAACTAAGGGAGAATTAATGCCCTCTGATCACTACTTGCAAAGCTCATTTGTAAATTATGATCAAAATTAGATCAAACCTGTCACTAATTTTTATTTGCATCTTATGAAATCATTTTGATTTAAAGGAGAAGTTGATTATGTAGTATATGTAGAATATTGTTTTAAAAGATTTAAATAATGCAGTGTTAATGTTAGCAGAAGGCCAGACACAGGGTAAGTGGTCAATATTACTAATTTCAAGTGAAAAGGCTTTTAATGTATTATTTCTGGATATAACACACAATTCAATGTAGTAGTTATAAATTAATACGAAAATATCCAAAAAAGTTTAAACATGAAAATACATTTTAGTAACAATCATAAGAGGATTTTTACAAGTGGCTATTTTCAGTTTTAGTTTTATCAAAATAGAAATAGAATTAAGTTTCTTTTAAAAAATAGACCTATAAAAGCTCATTTCCTATTAGCTGCTATATGAGATGCAGATGGTAGTTTCAGTCACTTTACACAAGATCAACCTCTCAACATCTTCTGAACTGATTACTGAAGATTACAACAAACCCCTTAGAACAGAGTTTTCCCTGGAGACTGAATTGGTGCATCTGGGGACTGGGTTCAGGAATTGGACTTTTAAACAAGCAGCTGTCCCCTGCTTCCTGGTAATTTATTATGGTAGGTTGATTTGGAAAATAATGGCAAACAAAATAATTTTTATCATGCTTGAACATTACTTGATATGAGTGGCATATCTAAAGAAAATCAAATTTATCTAGCTTTTTAATTTGCACAGCTTATCATCATGACTAAGTTTTTCTTACCTAAATATCATAAGGTTTTATTCTAATTCTTCTAATATCTCACAAGAACTGACAGTAATTATTTTTTTGAAAACTGCTGGTGATTGGGCTCCTAAAGTTTTAGTGTTGCTTATACCTTTTCTTACCAGGAAGCAGAAGAGTCATCTAGCAGTTCTATTAAAAACAGAGTGGAAATTATTCAAATAATCATACTACTCACAAAGTAGTCTTTACACAGCTATACCAACATCAGTTAGTAGAGTTACTTGCAAAACCAGTTATCAAATACCTATTAATTTAAAAATTCGATTTATAAAGTATTATTTCAAGTCTGTGTACAAAATCTCATTTGCCATATTATGCAACTAGGAAGCAATTATTTAACTGGATATGTATACATGAAAAAAATGCACACAGATTCATTCTAATTGATCAACTAGTAACATATCCTTCTAAATTAAAAAAATAAGCAATGGAATGTATTCTCAAACAAATACCATGGAGCACTGAGGAAAGTTTAAATTATTAGAGATTTGAAAGAATGTTTAATTAGGATTAAAATCATGAACTATCAGCCACTTATATTTTCTAATTACAGTATCATATGCAGAGAATCAAAACTGCAAGTTTATCAAAGTGGGTTAAATAGTTTTTAAGCTGATTAAAACTACTTAACTTAAAATGAACTATTTTTGAACCTCAAATAAGTGAGACAGTATTCAACAATTTATTGAAGAATCAGCATGAACAGTTTTAGCCTTAGTAAAAGCCATTGCTAATACACAAATTGAAAAGGGCTTTAAAACCAAGTCCTTGGTTCCACGATGCACTTCATATCCCCATCTGTATATCAGCAAAGTTGTAGAAGCTGTCTATATCTCTAGATGCTATCTCCTTGTTTTGTGATACAAACGTCTGTTTTAAATATAAAAGAAACAGAAATAAATACTAGTAATCCCCAAATTCCAAAGCCCATATTCTCCACAGAACAAAGTCACAAGCTTGCTATTTAAAAGAAATTCAAGTACATTTATAATATTTAATGTGTAGATTTTCTGTAGAATCCATGCAATAGAGTTTCAATAGCTATAATGTAAAATGAGCTCCTTTAAAAGCACTTATGATGTAATTAAGGCCTTTGCTTTCATAATACTTCACTTGCATTTTATTACACTTGGAATTTTACTGTTTTTAAATATACAACACGCAATATTATGAAAGCTACTGAATAAAGAGTTGTATTTAAAGAACTATTAGTTTATTCTATTTTCTTTTTTTATGTTTTTATTGATTTTTTAGAGAGAGAGGAAGGGGGAGAGAGATAAAAACAATGTGAGAGAAATGGAGAATTGAATATAAAACTCAGCAAGTCTCTTTTGAGTGGACTTATTTTTGTTGTTAATCCTTACCCGAGGATTGGCTGCCTCCTACACGCCCCCTACAGGGGATCAAGCCCAAAACCTGCCCAGGAATTGAACCGGGACCTATCAGTCCATGGGACGATACTCAATCCACAATCCACTGGGCAGTTTCTTCTCTTTTTCTAGAAACAATTTATTTTTTTTTAATTTATCTTTATTATTGAAACAATTTCCATAGGTTGAGAAGCAAAACCTGAGATTGTATTTTTTAAGCTGCTACAGATATATGGTATTGACCTGGCCAGTTTGGCTCAGCGGTTGGAGCATCGGCCTGCGGACCAGAGAGTCCCAGGTTCAGTTCCTGCTAGGGGCATGTACCAAAAAAAAAAAAAAAAAGGTATACGGTATTATTGCCCTGGTCAGTTTAGCTCAGTGGTTGGAGTGTTGGCCTGAGGACCGAAGGGTTGCAGGTTCGACTGCCAGTCTAAGTACACATACCTGGGTTGCAGGTTTGATCCACAGCCCAGGTCGGGGTCATGTGGGAGGCAACCAATCAATGTGTCTCTCTCACATCGATGTTTCTTTGTCTCTCTCTCTTCCACTCTATCTAAGAATTAATGGAGAAATATCCTCAGGTGAGGATTAACAACAACAACAAAAAGATATATGGTATTACTAATTTAAAATGAACTATTTTCTGAACAACAATAAAGCAGTACTCAATAGAACCCTTCAAAACTAGCTTTTACAAATGTCAGCTAGGAAACAGAGGAGACCTGAGTTCCAGTACAACTTTATTATAAACTAGCTGTACGATGCTGAAAATTTAATAAACCTCTCTGGGCTCAGTTTCCACATTTGTTTCCTTTTCTATTTAGTCTGATTCTATTTGCCCTCAACCTTAATAGTATGTGATGATAAAATGAGATAAAAGACAAAATACTTTATTCAAATTGAAGGAATCATAAACCAAATAAGACTACAAAACCCCAAAATTTCCTCTCATATATTTATAAAAAATTATCAGTTATATATACACTCATTTAATCCTCTTATATGTTTGGTTTTTAAGTTATATTAAGTCTGAAATTCTTAAATACACAACCTCATCAGCATATCTAGAAAATACCTATATGTAATGATTTCTAGATAAAGCTCAAATTCAATTTTTGAGGAAGCATTACTGAAACAAATAAAAACAAACACTGGGCAATGGGATCATCTGTCTAAAGTATATAATCTTAGAAATACAGATGCTCCTTGATTTATGAGGGGGTTATGTTTCAGTAAGTCCATCGCAAGTTAAAAATATCATAAGTAGAAAATGCATTTAATACACCTAACCTACCAAACATCATAGCTTAGCCTAGCCTACCTTAAATGTGCTCAGAACACTTACACCTACAGTTGGGCAAAATCACCTAACACAATAAATATACACTGTAGAGTATTGGTTGTTTATCCTCATGATGGCAGGGCTGACTGGGAGCTGTGGCTCCCTGCAGCTGTTCAATTTATGAGAGAGTAAGGTAAAGCACCTTGCTAGAAGTATGATTCCTATTGAATGCCTATCACTTAAAGTTGAAAAATTGTTAAGTCAAACCATCCATATAGCATTTAATATATCATTCACTATTTTTAAAAAAGAACTTGAAGATGCATTTGATAAGACTTTTTCTTATTTTGTTAATTTGTAAACAATTAATACTTTAGTTTGACAAGGAAAAAAAATAAAGCTAGGTTCCCAATTTATCACAGGTTCTAAAAATCATGATCTGCTTTTTCTTTTTTTTAAAAAATTCCATGCAACACTAAGGTTAAAAAGTACTATTTGACTGTAAGGAAGAGGAGATGAAAAGGTTTGATTGAAATATAGTCAGTCCCAGAACCCTGCCTAGGAGGTGGGGAAGTCCTGCAGCTCCCTATAGCTGGTCTGTAGCTCCAGGCTGTTGTGAAATGGGGAATTAGGAGGTGGGGAGTTTGGGGGAATGCAAGGGTCTGGGGCTGATTCTGAGTAGTCAACGGATTCTGCGGGGGGGAGGGGGGTCCTCTCTGGTAGGTGGAAGATTAATGGGAACACTGGGAGCCCTGCAAAATTATGACCCTGGGGTCCTGAAGGTATCTCAGGAGTAGGTTGGATTCTGAGGTTATCCCTGAGAGCATGGACTTTTCTGGAGCCCTGGGGGTTCCTCAGAGGTGTAGAGACCTCTAGATTACTGGGGTTTGCTTTGAGAGATGAGCAGTCCTCAGATCATTAGGAAGTTTAGAAGACAGATATTTCTAGAATCTTGGGGATCTCTCTGGAAGATGGTTTGGAGGGGAGCCCTGGGGTTTGCTCAAAGGTGGGGGCATTTCTGTAGCCTTAACTTTCACAATGGAAGTGCTATTTTTCTGGAAACTTCCTGGGGGAGGTCTTTAGGCCCTTGAGGTAATTTGCAAGATTAAAAGGGCAGTTATTCTAGAGTCCTGAGGTTCACCCCTAGGAGTGGGGGAGAGGGATGTTTCCAGAAGCCTACTGGGGGCTTTGTTTCAGAGGTAGGGGATCTTGGAGAACCCTTGAGAAAGAGTTTAGGATCCTTGGAATACCCTGGGGCTATTTCAGGGGCCCACTGATGTTTTCAGAGCTCATATTGGGAGAGGTGAGATGACACATGCAAGCTTTGGGGTCTCTCTGAGGTTGAATTCCCTGGACACTGATTTGAAGGAAGCCAGAGATGCTACAAATTCTCTCTGGCTCTGAAGCAGTCTCTCTGAAGTTGTCCCTGCCTTGCCTGACATGTGCTCCTTTTAGGTCACAAAGAGAAACCCTGGATTCTGGGGACCTGTGGATGGGATGGATGTCTGTTTTCGACCAAAGTACATTTTTTAAAATGTGCCAGGTCCAGGCTAGGGTTATTGAGGCAGAGCTGGCTCAAACCAAGACAGCCTTTAAGGAGAACTCTGTTATTGGAGTGGGGGGAGGACAGGAACTTTACCCTATATAAGTGCCCAAATGGGGGCTGCCAGCAGGTTGGAGTGTCAGGGGAGAGGTCAGGCCCTGCTTTGCAGTAGAGCCACTCCAAGCAGCCCAAGCAGAGTGCTCTTTTACCAGAGGAATGTGGGGCCAGGTTAGTATCTGGGGTCTTCAAAGGGTGTCTGGGCCAGTGGCCAGGAGAGCAGCAGTGCTGAGTCATGCTGAACTCAGCTCAGGAAGGGGCTAAAAAAAAAATACAGTCAATGACATCTTGTACCTTGGTCTCCCCGAATATCTTGTTGACAACAATTTGACATTCTTCTACAACACCATCTCCATTAAACTCCAAGGCAATAACAGGACCTATAAGCAAACCAAAGAAGGGTTGCCTTATCAAGAATACAAATTTATTATAAAATTAATCTTTTTATTCTTCCCTGAAGAATCTCTAGCCTCTTCTTTGGAGGTAAAAGAAAAAGAAGAAGAAGTAAATAGAAAGGACACATCACTTCAGCTACTTCTTCCTACTCTAATCATAAATACAAATTAACAAAGAGTCTCATCACATGATGAGTAGCATCAGTGCTACTATAGGACTATCACAATTTTTGAAATTGATTTTAGAAGAGGAAGAGAGAAAGAGAGAGAGACAGACAGACAGATATTGCTGTGAGAGAAACATTGATCGGTTGCCTCTATCATGCACCTGGACTGGGGATCAAACTCACAACCTGGGTATGTGCCCTTAGTGGGAATCAAACCTGCAAACTTTTGGTGCACAGGACAATGCTCCAACTGAGCCACACCAGCCAGGGCAGACCAGCACATTTTAAAGTGTTGTAAATAGTCTGGCTTTTCTGGTTTTCATTCATCTACAAAAACCCCACCCATTTAGCGTACAAAAAACAGTTGACAAAATGACAAAAAAGATCAAAAGCAATTCAAGTCAAAATAAGTAAGTTTTGCCAGGCAGTCAGCCTTGCTTCCAACTCTCCTACTTAGCAGCCAAGTTCTGGGCCACCAATAATGAAGCTAAGCCAAGTAGGAATTGAGGCCAGGCACCAAAAGTAATGACTATGTGAAGTATTTTCTTGAATGTGCCTTAAAACTACATTCTAGATCTAGTGATCAAGTGTTTATTTTTTTTTCATTCTCCAAAGAGAATATTTATGCTTCCTTCCCAATACATTAATTAATATACTTTTAAACCACGTGTACTTTAAGTTTGGATTTAAATGTAGCATTGGCACTACCAATGTCAAACTGTTTGCAAACATGGCCATAAGTCAGCCAGGCAAAACATACCCTTCAATTCAAATAATATTTATTTAGCTATCACTATATTCTTAATAGATTTACCTTTTATCTCCTACAGCAACGGAGAAGTCCTGATCTCCATGAAATTACAAATTCCTTTTAAAATGTCATAAACCCATTAAACCAATACAGAACAACAGAGAATAATGAAGTAGTCAGTAATGAAATACTAAGGTGAATATAGCCGTGTGCCATAGGGCAAGGTACAAGAAAGAGAGAAAAGATCACATTATACTAGTCACCAAAATAACTGAGGGCCTATGATTTAATACAGGAAACAAACACAGAAAAGGTAGGATATATCAACAGTCAACCATACAATTAGATACAGAAAACAAACTGAAGTGTGAGTTTTTTCAGCATCACAATATGTAGATCAAGACAGGTGCTGAGTAAAGAAAAGAAGGTAACTGGAGAATCTTTCCTCAGAAAAATGGATGATTCTGAGTCTGAGGCAAGAAATGGGTAAGATCAACCTGGAATATCTTGTTGAGCCTAAAAGCAATGAGGCTATCAAAGGCCAATGGGGTTGTATTAAAAGGACACAGGAGCCAGCTTGAAGGAGCTCCCAATGGCCAAAGATGAGACTCAGTGAGATCAGAAGGAATAATGACTACAATTTATTAAAACACACTGAATATATAAAAAGTCATGAGTTCATAATGATATGTAGAAAAGAGAGACACAAAATTCACAGGATACCACTGTAGGTTGCTAGGGCACCAAATCATTACTCTAAAAATTGATGTTTAATTATTTTCCCTTTATTTTGAAATATTGAAGCATATTTCAAATTAACCAAACAGTTCTGGGGTACAAGAAGCTCTGTTAACATCCATTAATAAATACAGAGGTAGACAAGATTAGAAAATGATCACTTTGCAATTCCTAATAAAAATAATTGGATCAGGCCCTGGCCGGTTTGCTCAGTGGTTAGAGCATTGGCCCACAGACCAATGAGTCTCGGGTTTGATTCTGGTTAAGGGTACGTACCTCGGTTGCGGTTTGTCCCCGGCCCTGGTCAGGGTTGTGCAGGAGGCAACCAGTCAATGTGTCTCTCTCACATCGATGTTTCTCTCCCTCTCTCTCTCTCTCTCTCTCTCTCTTCCTCCCACTCTGTCTGAAAATAAATGGAAAAATATCCTCAGGTGAGAATTTTAAAAAATTGGATCAGGCAACAATCATCAATGTTTTTAGCATCCCTCGCGGAAGACTGACAGGAAACGTCAGTAAGAAGATTGTCATCATCTGAACTTAATTAAAAGCATAATAATCAAACATTATATGCCCTCTCATGTAATAATATAGGAAATAGTACCACCTGTGAAATATTCTTGCCCCCCCCAAAATCCAAAATGTGAGTGTAAACAAGGTTTTCATCTAATTTCTAGTCTAGAAGAACTGTAGAGGAACAAATTAAACAAACCCATGTACACTACAGGACAATTGACCAGGTTTCTTTTACAAGACAAAGGCATGAAACAAAAATGGAAAGGGGAATACCTGTTTCTGGTTAAGAGAGATATAACATACAAAAGAATGACATACAGTGAGTGGGACAATTTTAGATCTGGAGCAAATTAACTGCAAAAATACATAAGGAATGTTTGTAGACAATTAGGGAAATTTGAATATGTACTGGGTATTAGATGAGATTAAGGGATTGCTGTTAATCATTATAGATGTGATAATATATTGTGGTTACTTAAGAAAACATCTATTTTTAAATTTGTTTTAAGAAGACACACACTGTAATATTTAGGGGTGAAATGACAAGACATTAAACTTTGATTAAAATATTTCAACAAAAAAGAGCATAAGTTATTTTTTAAAATGTTCTTTTTTTAAATTGATTTTTAGAAAGAGAGAAAGGGAGAGAGAGAGAGAAACATTGATGTGAGAGAAACATCTATGGGCTGCCTCCTGAACACTCCCCACTGGGGACTGAGCCTGAAACCTGGGCATGTGCTCTGACTGGGAATTGAACTGGCGACCTTTTGGTACATGGGTCGATGCTCAACCACTGAACCATATCAGCTGGGCAAAATTATTTATTTATTTATTTATTTATTTATTTATTTAATCCATTTTTTGTACAGATAGAGTGGGAGGGAGAGAGAGAGAGAAACATCGACGTGAAGGGACACATCGAGTGGCTGCCACCCGCACGACCAACCAGGGCCGGGGAAAAACTGCAACCGAAGTACGTGCCCTTAGCGGGAACCGAACCCGGGTCTCTCTGGACCGCAGGCCGACGCTCTAACCGCTGAGCCAAACTGGCCAGGGCCAAAATTATTTTTTAAAGTATGGCAAAAATTGGTAAGATGGGGAAGGGTACACATGGGGTCATTGTACTCTGTACTTTTGAATAGAGACAGCACATTTGGAAATTTGCAAAAGAGTTTAAAACGCATTTTAAGCCAAATAAATACCGAACTAAAAAGAAAATGTTGATAATAAATGTAGGGTTTCCAGTTTTGCAGAAAGTAGAAGTTTGAATTAAGGTAGAATACAGTATCCTTTTAGTCAGGATTAGTACAAGAATATACAGGATATACATTTTTTAAAGTCAGCCATTTATTTCTGAAACTTCCTGTATTCTACAAAGACAACATAATCCAGAATGAATAAATCCAATTATGGTAGAATTACCCACGTATGTAACTTGGTTGCTATTTTTTGAATAAAATATCATGAACTTTTGATAAGTGACCTAACAATTTACCAACAAAAGATCACTAACAAAAAAGGTCAACAAGTGCATCAATTTTGATTAACATGTATGGATAATCCTAAATTTAAAAGCTACAATGCTGATGATGTATTTTTAAGCAGTCCTATTTGTCTTTCTGTCTAATAATGATGACCACAATTACTGTGTTTATTTAAAACTGAACTAGGAGGTCAACAAGGATCATTAGTCATGTTTTTAGTGTTTTACTTTTTTCTTTATTGCTTTTTAAAAAATCCTCACCCAAGGACATTTTTTGCATTTATCTTCAGATAGAGTGGGAGGGAGAGAGGGGGGAAGAGAGAGAGAGAAACATCAACGTGAGAGAGACACATCAACTGGTTGCCACCCACACGACCCCAACCGGGGCTGGGGACGAACACAACTGAGGTATGTGCTTTTAGCAGGAACCAAACCTGGGACTCTCTGGTTCACAGGCTGACGCTCTAACCGCTGAACAAACCGGCCAGGGCTTTATTGATTTTTAGAGAGAGAGGAAGGCAGAGGGAGAGACACAGAAATATCGATGAGAGAGAACATCGATTGGCCGTCTCCTGCATGACCCCCAGTGGGGATTTGGCCCACAACCTGGGCATGTGCCCTGACTGGGAATTGAACTGGTGATCTCTTGGTGCACGGGTCAACACTCAACCAGTGAGCTATACCAGCCAGCCAGGCTGTTTTTAGTGTTTTAATGTGAACATCTTATCAAATAGTTTGCAGGAACTTTAAATCTAAATATTTGAACTGTCATAAAAAGATTGTGAGACTTTACAGTAAACAAAAAAGATTCCCGAATATCCTATCTAATAAACTCTTCTGTGTAATCTAACATGACCTTAGAACAAGCCACTGTCATGTCTCAATTAGATTAGAGCAACAGCCTCACAGATGGCTCTCTGCTTCCCCCTTAGAGCAATCAGAATGATAAAAGTTACATTTTAAAGGGACATGACATTTTTCTGCTCTAAAGCCTCTAGTAAAATATCTATATTTTTATTATTTTTAATTGTTTTTAAAATACCTGACCATTTAAAGTAATAACATTAACAATGTATTAGATATTTATAGCATATGCAACAGTAAAATATATAATAATGACACAGGGATGGGAGGGAAGATTTGAGTATATGATGTTATTAGGACCTTATATTCTATAGGTAAAGTGGTATAATATTAGTATGAAGTGGGTCCAAATGATTTAAATAGGTATACTGTAAAACCTAAGGCAACCATTAAATAAAAGAGATATAAACAATAAGTCAGTAGAAGAGATAAAATGGAATTATATAAAAATGGCCAATTAAACAAAAAG